AAAGGCCCAGTTTACCAGCAACAAGTTAGCTAATGGGGCCAGCTGACACTGAGCGCTGTCTCGCTGGCAAACTGTGGTGAACTAGGCCTTCCAGAAAGATGATCTGGTTGGAACGTTGGAGCGTTAAAGAAACTATTCATTAAAAACCTATACGGCACAAGAAACACATGAAAACTATCAACCAGTGTTTTTTTTGTCGTTAACTAGATAGATAAGTAAGAGAAACGTTAGATAACTGAGATAAACGGGAGTGTATTGTAACTACACGTAAATATCACAGGCTCTCTGAGAAAAGAGAGGCCATAATGATTCTAGTTCTTCAATTTACCTAACCAAAATTCGAGCCGTGTCTTAGTGCGCTTAAAAAGTGGTGGGAGAATGAGAGATTAGATTGATCCCTGCTACTCAAGAAATACGCAATAATGATAGAAGCCTTAAAATCATTTGTTAATCTACTGTTTAACGCTTTAGTAATGCACAACCGTTTTAATAGACTTTCAGAAAATAAAAGACCTGCTGTTTGAAGTATCGCCTGTCCTCTTCGTCAACCAGAACGAGGTTCAGAAGATACCTAACGGAGAATTTCTTACTAACATCACGCATGGTAGGGGCCAGATCGTGTCCAGCGAGGAAAAGGCGAATAGGAATAGATTCTCCTGAAATGAGGTAAGATGAACATTATCAATGATAATGAGAAATGAGCTAACGACAAGATTGGTAACGATTATGAAATTGTTCCCACCTCTGACAGGAGCACCATCCATTATTTCGAATTTCGCCACAGGATCAGTTTCTTTTGCAGCATTGGGACCAGAGCCGACAGTTTCGGATTTGATTATTGTGATTTCCATATGCTTGATTTTAATACGAACCAACACGAAGTAGATCTTCCCCACTATAACGTCTTGGAGATGGTACCTTAACAATCACAAAACTAAGCTCAAATGGGAATGTCACCAACAGTTTCGTATTACTCTAACGGCAAGAATGAAGTGGCTAGTTGAAAACAAAGAAAGTTAGCACAGCGGAAACATATTGTCATGAAGACTTCTAGTTGAAAAAAAAACACCATGCAATTCATTCACTAAGAAGAACTAGGGTTAAGCATGCGCAGCAGAACAAGAGTGTGGCTTCATGGGATAGCTAGTCACAATTTCGAGGAAATTCTAGGAAATTAGCAATTTGCATAGTTTCTTAAAGAACTTCTGGTTCTTAAATTTTACCACAAACACTGTTTATATCTTGGCAGGCTAAAGCAGACTCAAAGCTCGAAAACAGGTAATACAGAAGCCGAAACCCAATCACAAATATAGACGACATTCAAAAAAATCGAATTTAATGGATACCTGCTCTTGTTATACTCGAACTCAATATGAAGGCAGTCTTCAATTCCAACCTGAAATATGTTCCAATTCAAAATTTGCAACTTAATAGTAGACGAATGTGAACGAAAACTATTAGGTAAAATTATAAGAACATCTAGAGGCGGGTAAGCTAGAACGATTAAGTATTATACAAAATCTAAAGGTTTGCAGACAATATTATAAATCTGGACGGTATACGTAACCCTCGTTCGCACTACTGCGACTCATGAGTTTGCAAGGTAAAACATTTATTATGTGCAAAGAAGAAGATTGAATTGATGTGATAACCCTACTCCAATACGAAAGTAGGGATGGGAGATAGACTGCAAGTGGAGAAAAAAGAAAGAAATTTGTGAAAAACACAGGAAATATGAGTCTTCTTATTCTACGTTGCGGAAAAGTCCAAGGGCGTATTCATAGCGGTCGCCCAATCGTAACGATCCACAGCAATGGATGCGTATCGATCATCCAATTCACGGACATGCCTAACGACCGATACGCATCCAATGCTGTGTGATCGCTACGATCGGACGATCGACGACGACCGCTTCAACAGGCAGGTACAGTGATAACAAATAACGTGAATCGGTAAGAGAGCAAAAGAAGTTCGAGTAGAGAAAACATAGCAGATCACTGCGGCGTAAATAAGGTAGCGAATGGCTGGCAGATCTTGATATGCATGGTAGGATTAGATCAAAGTCCTTAGCACCTGGCTTCTTAGTAACGTGTTTCGATGAGCAAAAAAGGCGGGACATCTGCAGTGGCGTACGACATACCTCACCAAGGAAGCGGCTACTTCAGTGAGGCCAAGCTCGGAGGTTGCCTCAAACTAATCATAAGCCCGATGTTAGCATGAATTGTTTTCCTCTGATGCCGACGGTTGCACGGTTCGAGGGCAGTTGCTTTCTGCCGGTGCCACTTCACAAGCTAGGTGCTGTTGGGTGCAGTTCGTCAATAACCGTTAAAGAAAAGGATAGTTGTTCTCAGTGATGAGTCTTTGGGTTTTAGTTTCTTTGCCAGAAACGTTCTAAGCCTTCTATTTTTGAAATAAAGACCGT